ACAGCAGGGTCCAGGACAGGAGGTACCTGAGGGTGAAAAGAGGGTGCCCAGAAATGTGGTGGGCGGGGTGTTGCTGCCGGTGGCAACTGTGGGTAGACTGGTGCAGGCGTAGTTTGTTGGTGGTGCTGCTGGGTCGGGAGTTTAACGGGTAAGGTGGCCGGCTTGACTCGGTCTGTGCTGACAGTGTCGTGTCTGCCATTCCGGATAATCGTCAGGAACTTCGCTGAACGGGTAACAACCTGAAAGGGTCCATCGTAGGGCCGTTGTAGTGGGTTGCAGTGAGCATCAAGCCTGACGAAAACATACTCGGCTGTGAGTAGTGCAGGAGGGATGTGTTCAGGGCGCCGAGGAGGCTGGCGTGGAGCAGTAGCTCTGAATGCAGAAACTGCTTGTCGTAGCTTTTGGAGTAAGTCGTGACGAACGGCAGGAGTGGTTTGGTGGAGGTCAGGAGGGAGTGAGAAATCCCCGGGTAGGCGAAGGGGCTCGCCTAGGGTGAGATCTGCTGGGCTACAGTCCATGTCCTCCTTGTGTGAAGCACGGATGCCGAGGAGCACTAAGGGTAGCGCATCCGTCCAGCTGTAAGGGTCGTGCTGTGCCTAGAGTGCGTCCTTCAGCTGCCGGTGAAACCGCTCTACCATGCCGTTGGATTGAGGGTGGTATGCAGTGGTGCGTTGCCTAGTCGTGCCGAGGAACTGTAGGAGGCTGTGCCAGAGTTGTGAATCAAACTGGGCTCTTCGGTCGGTGATGACGGTAGCGGGGGGGCCGAAGCGGGAAACCCAACCGGACATGAAGGCGCGGACGGCAGACTCTGCTGTAGCATTGGGCATGGGGATGGTTTCTGTCCACCTGGTGAAACGGTCGATGCAGGTGAAGATGTAGGTGCTACCGCAGGATGATGGAAGAGGTCCCACTATGTCGAGGTGCACTACTTGAAAATGTCCGTTGGGTATAGGGAAGGTTTCTAAAGGCGCCCGTGTGTGACGATGTATTTTGGAGGACTGACTGGCCAGGCACTGGGCAGCCCATTTCTTAGTATCAGACTTGATGCCGGGCCAGACGACGCGTTGTGTGAGGAGACGCTGGGAGGCCTGCACACCTGGGTGGCTGAGACCATGGATGCGGTCGAAAACAGCGCGGCGGTGGACGTGAGGCACGAACGGTCTAGGCTGCCCACAGGATACGTCACACCATAATTTGATGTTTGTGCCAGGGATTGGGAGTTCTTGGAGTGTGAGGCCTGAGGGAGATGTCTTGTATGCTGCCAGATCTTCGTCATTTTCTTGAGCCGCGGCGAGTTGCCTGTAATCGATGGGTGGGGATGAGGGGAGAATGTTGGATATACAACGAGAGAGGGCGTCGGCGATCTCGTTGTGGCTGCCTTTAATGTGTTGGACGTCGCTGGAGAACTCCGAGATATACGCCTAGTGGCGCAGGACACGAGGTGTATGTGACTGGGAGGCTGAAGTAAAGGCGTTGTGAGAAGAATGCAACAGGTATGAGAACTCCGTTGATCCCCTGCTGTAAGACGGCGCCCACTGCAGTAGAAGAAGCGTCTGTTGTGAGAGTGGTCTGGGCGTTAGGTGCGGGGTGGGTTAGGAGGGTAAGGCGTGTAATGTGCTGTTTGATAGCGGTGAATGCCGTAACAGCCTCTTGAGTCCACACGAGAGGCTTGTGAGACTTCTTTGGGAGTCCCTTGAGAAGGTCATAGCGGGTAACTAGGACGGTGGCAGCATTGGCAATGAAGCGGTGGTAGTAGTTGACTAAACCGAGGAATTCTCGGAGTTTCTTCGCCGTTTCAGGTTTGGGGAACTCCTTAATGGTAATTATCTTCTGTGGTAGGGGTTGGATGCCACTAGGCGAGACTCTGTGACCGAGGAAGTCGATGGAGGAGGCTCCGAAGACGCACTTAGCAGGGTGAACTTTCATGTTGTTGTTCTGCAGGTGTTGGAGGAGGAGTTGTAGGTGGTGATGATGCTCAGCAGGCGTCGAAGATGGGACAAGGATGTCGTCTATGTAGACGGTGACAAAATCAAGGTCGCGGAGCTTATGGTCCATGTACCTCTGGAAAGTCTGTGCTGCATTGTGTAGGCCAAAACTCATGAAAGTATACTCGAAGAGTCCGACCGGAGTGGTGATGGCTGTCTTCTGGGTATCTGCAGGTGCTACTGGGATCTGGTGGAAGGCACACTCCAAGTCGATCTTCGAGAAGGTTGTCTTACCATGAAGTTTGCAGTGGAAGTCCTGGACATGCGGAATAGAGTACCTGTCAGGTTTGGTGATGAGGTTCAGGGATCTGTAGTCGCCACACACCCTCCAGTCGCCGGATGATGGCTTAAGAACCATGTGAAGAGGCGATGCCCAGGGACTCTTAGAAGGACGAATGATGCCGTCTTGCAGTAGTCTGTTGAATTCCGCCTTAGCTGCGTTCAGGAGTTCAGGGCGCAGGCGGCGGGGGCGTGAGAAGACTGGAGGTCCTTTGGGCTCGATGTGGTGGAAAATTCCCGACGTAGGTGGTGGGGGTGGAGAGACTCGGGGTGAGAAAAGTTCCTTGAACTCTTCGAGCAGGGGAAAGAACTCGTTGGACGGCGAAAGGCAGGTGATAGTGTCGGTGTCTTTGGCACGTGAACCCTGGATCTTGTGTGCTGTAGGCTCATGGATGAGGCGAAGGTGGCTTGGGTCGACCCCGAGCTTGTGGAAGGTGAGGAAGTCGAAGCCAAGGATGGGTTGAGACATGTCTGCAACTACGAATGACCAGCACAGAGTCTTGGGGAGACAGAGGTCTAAGGCGAGGATGTGTGTGCCGTAGGAGGCGATGGGGGTAACGTTGGTGGTGAACAGGTCATAAGAGGGTTGCCTTGACGTGTCTTGTCGTGAGGGAAAGATGATACTGACCGATGAACCTGTGTCGATGAGGAATTTCGTGCCGGAGGTGCGGTCGGTGAAGTGTAGTAGTGAGACGCCTGAAGGGACGGGGGCTGAGGCGTCTACCAACCTCCGTTGTTGCCGTTTCCCGAGTAGGTGCAGTGGGGCTCACAGCGTTGAGCATTGGGGCCGAAACGCTGGTGATACCAGCAGAGGGCATATTCTTTGTGCTGGGGGCTGGCGGTGGTTTCCGGGGCAAGAAGGACGAGTCGGGGATTGTAGGGCTCGATGCGTGGGTTAGGAACAGGCCCAGCAGCAGGCATGGAGGAACAGAACTGTTCAATGATGTTCATACTGCTGCTCAAGGTTTGCAACAGGTCCCTGATGTCTTATGATGTATTGCTCGGCCTCGGGGCAATGTTGCCACATAACACGTGCAGTGTTGCCACGTAATTACATATATAAATGCTACTTGGCACAGTAGCTTATTTACAAGGTTGCTACTCGGCACAATAGCATAGATACATAACTTACATCTCCCTCCCCCCCTCACGCTCATAGTCTTTGTCTTGAGCGGACTTCTTAGTCCTAAGTCGCTCGGAGCGTCGAGGTGCACTGTGGGGCGGATCCTCGTGAGGTGTAGGGGACTTGTCCTCGGTCAGGGGGCCAGCAGCAGGGGGTGGGACTGGCCAGAGGAAGCGGCGGTTCCTCCACCAGACACGGCCGCTCGGCATCCAGACCTTTTAGTCCCGCGACCGGCTGACGCCCATCACTATGCCCACCTTGTCCCAACATGTCGTCGTCGGGTCCTGGATGCGGACAAGGGCACCAGTCTCTTCGGAGGCGTGGTGTGAGAGTGCCGGGTTAGGGTGGCCTAGGCCATGTAGTGCTGTCCACTGAGTCCACAAGTGTGCAGGTAGCGTTAGTGGGGACGGGCTGCCTCGAGAGGGGTTGAGGGTGTATAACTGCGGCATAGAATGTGGCAAGAGCCCTGCTGCTGCGACTGCGGCAGTGGCTGCTACTTGCGGGGCAGTCCCTGAGGCTCCGGGCGGGGCGGTGATGGCTGCGAGGCGGTCCCACATAAGCTGGGCTCGAGCCTTCTCCAAGAGGTTGCTGTTCTCGGCGTAAAGCTCCATGTACCCTCTTAGCGGCGTCCCCAGGTATCGCGGGTCCACCAACATGGACTCCAGCGTGTCCCTCTCGAAGTCTGTGAGCCTTGATGAGTCTCTGAAGCCTTTAGCGAAGGGATTACTGTCGATCTTGAGTTTGGTGATGAGTTGGTTCTGGTAAGCGGTGATGGCGGTAAAGATGGTCTGGGGGAAGATGTAGGTACGATGGTCCTCCTGATCCAAGTCATTGATGGGTCTAGAGAAGCCTTCCTTTAGGCATACCAAGTGGATCCTCGGCTGGTACCGGTGCATAGAGTTCAACATGATCTGGCCATGTTTGTCCATCTCGTTGTTGGTGAGTTTGACCTTCTCAAAAGACACGATCTGCTTCTTGAGTTGGTCATCACTCTGTACAGCGGGTGGACACTTCAACCTGAGTTGTTGGCAGCTAATTAGTGGAATATGAGGTGCCAGTGATGTACCAATCTAGTAGTTGTGACTTAACATTGTACCCCTCAGTGTAGCGAAGGAGCCCAAGTTCTCACAAACCAATGCGCCAGAAGCAGATGAATAACTTACATTTTTGACTGGATACGCTAGACTGCGCAGGTGCAATACAGGAAATTTGCCCTCGCATAAACAATCTACATCTCGTGCGGAAAAAAAAAGTCTACGGCCTGCCGCTTGACGGGAGAAGAGAGCTGACACCAAAGCCATCAGCCCCTCATATGCGAGGGTCAGCTGGGAGAGGCTGACGACCGAAGCAAGAGCAGCTACCATCTGCCCTGCAGCACCCCGGACACCACCTGCACGGGGCCCATCTGTGGGCGTCAGCGGGCACGCGAGGACCTTGTGGGCGTGTTTGGGCGTGCTTCCTGCGTCAGTGATGCTTGAGGGAGGTCTCGAAGAAGCCATGTCTGGGTGTAAGCCGCACGCCACCGACTTCTCTATTGCGGCTATCATGTCCCGAGGGTCGGCGGCGGCGGCGGCAGCAGCGGCGGCATCTGGGCTGTGACACGCCACCTCCCCCGGCCTTCCCCCTCTAGAGAAACTCACGGAGACGAGCATCAAGTCTGAGGATGAGGTGGATGATGGAGCCGACATCGAAGCTGAAGATATCGACATCGACGTGGTCTCTGACAAGGGTGACTGTGATCTCGACAGTACCAAAGACGCACTCGACCACCCTGGTTCTAAGTCTCCTGAATCGACCTCCTCCGACTCTCACTCCAACCACAAGACGGACAAAGCCTCCAAGTTGGAGATGAAGACCAAGGGTAATTGTCCTGAGCTGGAGAGCAACGACTGCCACTTGGAGACGAAAGAGCTCTGGGAGAAGTTTTTTGAGCTCGGTACAGAAATGATCATCACTAAAACTGGAAGGCGTATGTTCCCCACAGTCAGGGCGTCCTTCATGGGACTTAAGTCTGAGCATAGATACGCGGTGCTCCTCAACATTGTTCCCGTTGATAACAAACGCTACAGGTACGCGTACCATCGGTCGTCATGGCTGGTGGCAGGTAAGGCTGACCCACCACCACCCTACCGCCTCTACGCCCACCCCGACTGTCCTTACTCCGGCGACCAACTCAAGAAGCAGATCGTGTCTTTTGAGAAGGTCAAACTCACCAACAACGAGATGGACAAACATGGCCAGATCATGTTGAACTCTATGCACCGGTACCAGCCGAGGATCCACTTGGTATGCTGCAGCCAACTCTTCGTGCCTGACACCTGTCAAGATCCCGTGCTTGATCCAGGCTTCCTCACATTCCTGGCTGTGCGCCTTGCAGACGTCGATCTCCTCCGACAAACTCTTCAAACGCACAAAAGAGTCGTCAAAGGATTCATTCTCCGCCTGCTTGCAGCTGGTGAAGGCGCGGCGATGCAAAGCCTCGTTATTCCGACCCTTAACGTGCTCCTGCAAAAGGTCGAGCACATCCGTCACTGAAGAGGTAGAATCGGGAGGCACTTGCAACGTGTGCTCCAAAACTCTCTGGGTCTCCAGCGACAAACACATCAGCAGTTGGATGAGCTGTTTGTTTGGAGGCATGCTGTCAAGGTCCACCATCGTGGAGTAATCTGTCCAACGCCGCCTCCACTCACGAAAAAGCTGAAACGTGACGTCTGGTGAGAGGGCGGGTGGGGGTTGAACAGATGCCTTGGGAGCTGTTGGAGTAGCAAGAGTACCTGGAGGACACTGGTATGGTGGAGGAGGGAGGGTACTGGTGTCTTGGTGAGCGAGTGAGGGAGGGTGGGTAAACGCCAGGGTCGCCAATATTACATCAAAGCGCGCCTTTTCCTCCTCTCTTCGTGTCTCCTCCCTCTGAAGTTCCATTTCTCTGCGTCGCTCGTCTCTGTAGTCCATCCACCTCAGAATTGTGGCAATGTCCGTCGCTGTAGGTGAAGGGTGAGGGGCGGTGGGCGAAGCTCCATCTGTGCCCGGTAGAGGAGAAGGTGGTGGGTAGTCGTGTCTCCCATCTTGACGTCCCTTCTTACGGCCCATCTTAGTATGCTTGAACTGCGCTGTTTAGTATATAAAGTGGCGCCTCATCAGCTCGAACCACATATATATGACATAAACAGCGCAGAAATAACGCATAGAGTCCACTGTTCTGTCCGTGAGTGCGTGCGTGCGTGTGTGTGTGTGTGTGTCTCAGAGAGCGGAGCGTGGTGGCTCGCGGAGGCAAGACCGTCAGTGTCTCCCCGGATGTCACACGAGAAGGGTGTACGCCTGCGTGCTCCGTGGGTACCACAAAAAAGAGGCCAATGCTCAACTCTCAGCTCTAGACACACTAATACACTGACACTAACACTGCCACCGTCACTAAAAAGCACTGTGACGGCGCAACACTGCACGTCGCGGCGAAACACAACGCAACACAATACACTAGTCGACGTGCACATCGCCGGCAGATGTAACCGTCGGCATTGTTCACACGCTTGTAAGTCCACAGATCCTACTCACTGCGCCATGAAGGTTCCAAGTGTTCCCTGAAGAAAGCAAAGCAGTGATGGGTAGGGAAACACCGGGTAACACTGAAGTCCATTTATTAACGGATAGGAGAAATACAAGTGGTGACTAGCGTGTGCCTTGCATGAGGCACGGAGTCAGACTGAGACTGCCTTGCCATATGGCAGCCTCGGGGCAATGTTGCCACATAACACGTGCAGTGTTGCCACGTAATTACATATATAAATGCTACTCGGCACAGTAGCTTATTTACAAGGTTGCTACTCGGCACAGTAGCATAGATACATAACCTACACTATCTGCTGCGGTTGCGTACAGTTCAGGTGTCGTCGAGTCTTCTGTGGACAGAGTGATGCATATTTGTGTGCCGGGAGTTCAACCGCACATCTCCTCCCAGAGAAATCCCGGAGTTGAGTTTCCAAGGGAGATAGAAGATAGGTGCTGCAGGAGACTGGGGCTGGTCCGTTGGTAATGCGTTTTTAAGGCGTCCCACAGGGTGACAAATTTCTTGTTCTCTGGAGGGTTGGAAGTAGTCCGTGGGCAAGGAGGAGAGCAGGGCACCGTACTTTTGCTCGTCAGTAGCTTGTGAGCCGATGAGGATTGCTTCCACATGATCTAACCAGTCCTCGACGTTGTTGTTGAGAGTCGGTAGAGAGATCCGTCCGTCCTCCATCCTGTGTGAGTGCGTTTTTCCTGGGGTCACCAGTTGTAGGGTTACGTGATGTTATGTTGTCTCGCACTCAGGATGGGATGGATGGAAACTCTAGGTGGTGGTTTTCTTATATAAAATATATTATATACAAGACAGTCTGGTGCTGGAGATGCCGTGTGGTGAGGAGCTTGCTCAGAAGACACGTTCAGTGAGTAGCGTGTTTTAGAAGGTATCTGTGCAGGAGCTTCGTTAGAGGAGATGTTGCGTGTTGCTGTCCTCCAGGTTGAATGAGAGCTGGACAGCGAGGAGCTTGCTCGGAGGAGGTGTTGCATGTTCAGGAACGTAGGGTAGAATGCCTCTCAATGGAGACACTGAGAGCTTATATACACAGCAACCGGAAGTAAACCCATGGGAACTCGCCGGTTGCTGGACTCCGTTGCTAGGGTAAACGTCGCAGGTGGCGACCCCTCCCCCGTGAGGTGCTCGCTGGTTGCTAGGATACTGTCGCATTGGAATGCGGCTACGCAGTTGTAGGGGAGAGATCCCCTACAGGGGAACATGGTGAGCATAGCGTGCCCATCCAGCTGATTTTTGGGGGGGGGGAACAATAAGCCCCCCCCCCATTTGTCGTTTAGGTAAAAGGTCAAAGAACAAGAATATTTCGTTCAGTAAATCAACCACGTTACGGATAGAGGCAACAAAGCGGGGCCCTGCTACCATAACACAGATTAGAAGCAATTATCATAGTAATAATAAAGATCAATATTATTGTTATTATTAAGCCGACGATTACAAGTCCATAACATGGTAAACCGGTGGGCTTAAGGCTGAGTAGATCTGTACAGAGTCTCCACCCCCCCCCTCCCCAACAGCAACAACCATGAGGGGTATGGAATCAGGGACTGAAGCAGCACCAGGAAGTATGTTGACATGCAGTTACTGCAGGGCAACGTCAGATATAGATTTTTTTTTTTACGGGAATTAGCCCACCTAGACACAGGTCACTGACCCACATCGGGGCCTGGGGGGCGAAAATGTAATAATAATAATAATAATAATAATAATAATAATAATAATAATAATAATAATAATAATAATAATAGTAATAATAATAATAAATAATAATAATATTAATAATGATGATGATGATGATGATGATGATAATAATAATAGTAATAATAATAATAATAATAATAATAATAATAATAATACCAATAATAATAAAGAACCACAAAGAAATACAAAATGAAAAAAAAAAGTGAGGAACAATATATGTATGTTGTGTTGTCAATAGTAAGAGAAACAATTGGAACCCTGCAATTGTGTGTAAATGAGGCAGAAAGTCAGATCAGCAACCTGATCTGACTAAGTCTAAGGGGATAACTTAACTATAGTCTTAATTTTAAAGGTTGCTGCCACCAGAACCCCTCTGGGCAGTATGTAGCTCGTTAGGTAGCGGGCAGAGTGGACTAGGCATTGAGTTAGATTTTTCATTGACTAGATCGATAAGGGGAAAGAAGGGTGAAACCATAACATGTCTTAACTAATTTATTCCTTATAAAACATACTGCATTCCGGTAAAATACAAATAAGTTGGCCTTCCTCAGGAGAACAACGATGATTTTGGTTACCCTTCTTACAATATCCTTTAACACTTCGGACTGCTCCACCTGTATGGAATATAGCACCTTAGGTCATTATACATAGTAACACCATCTCACCTCCCTGTAGCACCAGCTCACCACACCTGTTATACTCCACACCTGCAAGTATGGGACTCCTTGTAATTTCTAGGTACACGTATCAGGCACCTCGTTCACACACCACCCTCGGTGGGTAGAGACACGAGGGTTTCACCAAGAGACATACCAGTACAGTTTCTACGTGGTATTATCGGTCGCTCCAAGTGACGACCGCGGAGTTTCTCGCGTATTTCATTATGTATTCCTACTTATGTGATGTGTGGTGGTATGCCGGGAATCCACAGGTTCACAGTGGATTAGCATAGCTGGGGGTAATCATCTCACATGGTGGGACGTTCACAGGGATAATGGCCGCCGTTCTGGTGAGTCAGAGCGCGCGGGGACCTGGGCTGATGAAAGGAGCAAGCACGTCTCAGAAATAATGCCTGATGGGCCGTTATCACACACCCTAACATTAATATTTCACTTTCTTCATCAGGCAAAGGCTCAAGGTATTATAACTACTATAAGTCTTGTTTTAGGGCTGAATACAATCCGATGAAGTTCACTGACCTGGGTTGATGAAAGGAGCAAGCGCTTCTGAAGGCCGATGCCCCTCCCCTCCGCTCCTCTCTGTTTAGGCCAACAGTTTCCAATCTTTATTTTTTCTTTGATTTCTTATGGTTCTCACATCTCCATTTTCCCGTTTATTGTGACCCGGTGTCTTATAAACCCATATTTTAATCCTAACTTACATACTACAATACGATTCGGGCTTGACAGTTTTTGGGAAAATTAAGTGGGTTATATGAACAACTCACACCTGTAGGCCGGGTACAAGGGACGCCACCCTGAAACAAAAGCCGAATGATCATAGCGTGGGTATATCTACTTCACTTAAAACTGTAATTAGGGATCCTCCCCTCACACATTGCACTACTTGAACACAGACTTAAGATTCTCTGATCACTGTTCATGTCATGGGTATACGCCACGCGAGGATACGAGGTGTATTAAGTTCACACAGATGCACACAAGATATTTCCTTTCAAGTTTAGTTTCTGGGTCACTTCCAACACCTCACATAGTTCTAATACATTTATCCTTTTCCCAGACCATTGTTCTCATGTATTTTCATATGATATCTGCGGAAGTTATGTTCGCTAAACGTTGACAGACATAAATAGTATGACCTTCAAACCACGATCTACACTTAGCCAGGATAGTACACTAGCCCGGATCAATTGGGCTCTCACAACCATCTTATAGATACCTTGAGTTTTCCTTAATGCTATGAATACATACAATTAATATTATATACCCGTAGCTGGGTACAATTCATCATATAATTCCGTAACATTCATTAGGTGAGTTAGTCTTTATCAACGATTCCC